CTGAATTATAAGTTGCCTTGTATTTTATAAGACTCCTCTTGCAGGCTGGAACAAGATACTTTATGTAGACCAGGTGTGCTGTACACATCTTATTATTCATTTCTAACTAGGTCTAGTAATTTTAATCACATTTTTCCCTAGTTCCAGTGGATAATTTTTACCACTTGGATTAAATTCTTGTTTGTTTTCAAGAAGTGAAATACTGCTAGTTGTCACTGTGGCTGCTATTTTTTTTAAAGATTTTTTTTTAATTTATTTTTTTAAATCCCCAGGAACGTAAAGATGACATACCATAGGTAGCATACAAAATCGATTGACTATAATGTGTGCATTTACATGTACTGACACTTAACAATTACTATCTCATTGTTTTAATAAATTAACATTTGCATAATACTGCAGGTATCCGTGACGCTATACCAAGAAATTAAAGATAAGGAGTAACATTCTGAAAAGTATCCTTGATTTTCAGTGATCTGAAAGTCTTGGGCTCCTAAGCCATTTAGGGGCTTTTGAAAGCTTTACCTAGGATTCATTGCAGTCTTGGGTCCTTGCAATGAGCTCTGCATGGATGGTCCCCTACATCCACAGAGCCTCATTAAGGGTAAAAATTAACTATGGAAGCAGATGCAACTTCAGTAATTTTGACAAATAATAATAATGAATCAAATTTGTAGTTACAGACCATTAGCTCAAAATGCTTTCTCTTCAAGTACACAGCAGTCTATTCTACAAACACCCCCCTGTATAGGGAACACATGCTTTTCAAAAGCGTGTTTCATAATGTGTGCAGAGGGAAACAATTTTTTGAGTTTGTTTTTTTGTTCTAAGCCAATGAAAGGTTAGTCTAACTCGTTCCAGAAGGCCCGTTGAATCACACAGATGATTCACAGCCAATCCGTACAGTGTTAGATTCTGAACTAAAGTTTAACTAATATGGGCCCAGGCTTGAAAACTCAGCACAATTAAAAATAATTGCACTCGTCAGTGATTCCTTATAATGTATTTTCTTTCTACTGCCAAATTTCACTTTGGCTACAAAAATGTTTATACAGGAATATTTTATAAATCTCTGAAGTATCAACATAAATCTTTGTTGTTGGTTTGTTTTTTAACATTATTAACTGAAGAAAATATTGTCTATTCAGATTTTATTTGGGTCAGTTTCTTTTTTTATCTGTTTTTAAATAGCCCTCTGCTCTAAAAGTACCTTACAACATACCACTAAAAGTTCATGCTCTAATTGGTTAAATCTGAAGTAGGCTGAAATCCAAACATAGGGCAAATGTATGCTTATACAAAGGAGGAACTAGGCAGAGAGGGAGGTGTGACACTATCAGAGCAACAGCATCTTGACCTTATGCTGTAAAGGTCATAAGCCATTTAGGGGAGTGTGCTCAGCAGTGGCATTTCCACCACCAATAGCAAAAAGAGGAGGTAGGACTGTGGTCCTTTCACCATCCAGACAGTACCCCTCTGGGACTGCTAGCACAGCTGACATTACACACACTTTGTGCTTCTCAGTGCAGCCAGTCAAATTATGGCTGCCCCCTGCACGTTGCATTGTATTGGTGAGGTTCTCTGTGAATATCAGATTAATCTGTATTCATGGCCCTTATTTGGCCCACAGATAGTGCTTGTAATTATACTGTATTTTAACTTCCTAAAAGTGTTTCCTCAAAACATGATTAGAAAGCAAACTTCCTCCCTTGCTGTGTTGCCTATTTCGTTGCCTACCCAGATGAGTCTCTTTAGTCTGCAGCTGGTTAATTATTTTCTTGCTGTCTTGAAACTGCAGAAGATGAAGTATCTTATCCTGTTTTATGGGTTTGGCACTCCGTTTTATTAAAGCAATATGCTCATCTCAGTAAAACTTTGTTGGTAGAACTGAAATGCAGTTAGATAAAAGGATATAGTGAGTCAAACTTTCACTGCGAAAGTTGTGACTGTTTTCATTGTAGCATATATGGACCTGATCACTGTAGTAATGGAAGCGTTTTTATTTTCTTGTTACAAATACTTAATATTTTTCAGAATATACTTTATGAAATAAAACCCTAACTGAAAAATTCCAAGCAAAATATTCTTGAGAGATGTGTATATTTTGTTGTCTTACGCTAGGGATTTTTTTCTCAGTCCCATACTAAGAAATTATGATATTATTGATGAATGAAAACTATTAAGGGTCTGACTCCAGAAACTAGCTGTAGCCAAATTTCCAAAAGTGACTAGTGATTTTTGCGTGCCTTGTGTTTTGGGTGCTCAACACAAAGGTACGTGGAAGGGGACTGTTTTTCAATAAATGCTGAGCCCTGAATATCAGGCCCTTTAAGGTGTCTCAAACTGAGCTTCCCAAAATAAAACATCCAGAATCACTGGCCTGTTTTGAAAATTTAGGCTTGTGTGTTTCATGGCTGCTGCTTGAGAACAAGGAAGTGAATCTTAAAATGGACTGAGGAAGGAGGAAGCCTATTTTAAATTTACGCCTAGCAAGCAGGTTACTCCTCTCTTCAGGTCTGCGTATGTGAGACTTCTCCTATTTTATTTATCTGATTTCCCTTTCCCCTCATCCTACCAATCAACAGTATAACTCCTGCATCATGCTCTTGTAACAAAATCAGTGTAGTTTAAACTAGATTTCAGAAACCTAGGCCCTTGGCCTGTGAACATTTACGTATGTGCTCAGCTTTATGTGCTTGAGTTAGGGCTGCTGCCTGTAGGTACAAAAAAAGGGACGTCTGCCCTCTTAGGTACAAAAAAACAGGACATCTACCTATTTGCCTGCCCCCCAGACTCCACCTAGGGCTGCCACCTCTGAGGTGCAGAAGTCCAGGACATTTGTCTGACACCCCTGGGTACTGCCTGCCTCATCCTATCCCCAGGAGATGGCGTCAGCCCTCGTGGAGTCTTGCTCCTGGAGCTTCCCTGGGCACTGATCTCACCAAGCTGGATGTGGCACTGGCCGGATCCACCCCACTCCCACCTGGCTATGACCCCCATAGCTAGTACTGTGCAGCGGTGACTAGGTGCTGCCAGTCCCGAGCTCCCTCTGTCCTCTTGCTACTCCCAAGCCGTTCTGTTCCTGCGGTTCCCAGACACTCTGGGGCCAGAGCTGCCACTGCAGGCACTGCTATCTTGTGGGTCCCCCTGCTACAGCCACTCAGGGCTTGGAGGCAGCGGGGTGCAGCTACCAAAACCTGAGAATTTTCAGGAGAACATGCAGCTACCCTTGGGGGGGGTGAGGGGGAGGGAGAGATAAAACTGGGGTTGCCACCAATCCCACGGTGAGTAATTCATTGATCTCAATGGGACCTGTCGGATGATAAAATTAACCACACGCATAAGTGTTCAAAGGATCAGGGCCATGCTTACAAAATGTTAAACGTCTTCCAAGAACCAAAGAGCTAGTAAAATTATGGAGAGCAACAAAATGGAGATTTAAATAGTTACTCAGCCTAGCCCTTTCTTAATATCAGTTTGATTAAAAGTATTTTTATAATAGGTATAACTTGGGGGATAAAAATCCCACCCACCGTGCCTTCTTTGTAGATGGATGCTGTTGAGTAAAGAATATGAAAGTTGAGTGACCGTTTCAAAATGAACTCTAATACAGGGGTCTCTTGAGAACCTAAAGTAATCCACAAGTTACTGCTACCTTAGAATTTCAGTAACAGTCACCCAAATATGGCTCCTGTTGGCGGGAAAGAAGGGGTGGAAACAAGAAGGGACCAATATATTTCCTTTTATATAAATAAATGTGAGGGTGGCTAAGGGGCCAATCTTCTCCAGTTGCCATATGGAAATCGTCATCCTGACAGGGCCCATCTGTGTTCCCTCCATAGGATAGCCAGCCATTTCAGTCTCTCCCCAGATGTTAGTCAGCTTGGGAGGAACCCAGTCTTATCTCTTGATCCAATACATTGGAAAATCACTGCACATGGCTTCGCTGCCTTCATTCTCCACAGCCCAATTCCCGTATGTGTCAGTTGAGTGGATAGAGCCACTGTCTCCACCTATAGGGTGGGGTGTATTACCAGCCATGCCAATTTGCTGCTGATAGTTTACCATGGACACTGCTTGGGCCTGGATTTGGTTCACTGAAAGCAATGAAGAGTGAAAAGAATTCTTCAGAAGTGGAATCCTCATGGGAATGCCTAGATCTCATGGATGTTAGAATGGGTGTTCTCTGGCTCAGTGCAATCTCGGTTAGCGAAAGCAATAGCAGGTTTACTGGCATAGGGTTACCAGCCTAGAAGTTAGGAAGCATGTTGGGGGGTATCTTAGATTGTAAGATCTTTGGACAGAGACCTTTATTTTTGTTCTGTGTTTGTACAGCTTCTATCACAAAGAGATGCTGGTGCATGACTGAGACTTCTAGATGCTACCATAATACAAATAATAATACTGTAAAACCTTTATTAATAGTGTCCCTTCAGAAGAAGAGCTCGGCATGTCAGGAAGGGGATAGGGTTAATTATGTTCCAGATTTCCCAAAATCTATAGGACGGAGTAGCTGTATCTGACTTAAACTCCTCATCAGAATAGAAATTACTTTTATCCACCTGTACGTTTGGTTATGTACCTTAACTCTACTTTGTATTTTATTTTTCAGTATTAAGCAATGCATGCATTTTATTTTATTATTTTTACATCTACAGCTGTTTTGTTAATTTATTTCAAGAAGCTGTCAGACACAAGTCCAAACCTGGTGTGTTCAGATATTTGCCTTGAAGAGCAGTGCATAAATATTCATTTATTTTGTAATTGCTTTTGATTTAATGGCTATACTATGTGGAAAAAAGAAATGTTATCTGAAGAGCACACCTCTTAGATTTAAAAGCTCATGGAGGTATCGTTTCCATAGTCACACAAAATCCCTGGTGATAGCAGAGCATGTTTCTTCATTTTTTCTGTTAAATCAGTTTGTGTGTGTTTCAGTGGTATAGATTTTATTTGCAAAAGAATATCTTACGATGATTCTGACCATAATTTATGCATAGGGTAAATTGCCAGTTCTGCTGCTTGGTCGATCTGCAGACTTGAGGCCTGGAGAATTCGTGGTTGCAATTGGAAGTCCATTTTCACTCCAAAACACAGTGACTACGGGGATTGTTAGTACTACCCAACGTGGAGGAAAGGAATTAGGGCTTCGGAACTCTGATATGGACTACATTCAGACGGATGCAATTATCAATGTAGGTCACTTCTACACAGTTGAATAACCCTTGTTCCATTCAATGTAGACTTCTGACTCTAGCTGCAGCTACAAGTTTGTCAACCATTTTCCCGAAGAAAAGTGGGTTTTGCTGGTTTTTATTGTTTAAAAGGATTTTTATCAGTATGAACATGGACAACTGCCATGGCTAAAGTATTGTTTATTTTTTCAAAGTCCCTAAAGGGACAATATCAAGTAATTAATCATAAAATATCTGACCTAACTTGGAATTGTTTGAACTTGTAAAGAGTGTTCCCTGGATGCTAAATAGCATTTAAAAATTCATCACGCTGTCACCGAGACATTTTAAAAAAAAATATCCAAGCTTGTGTTTATGTGGGACCATGGCAAAGCAATATGTTGATGTCTGTGTTCTTGCGCTTGGCCTCAAGAGCTGTTGTCATGGCCCTGGGAGTTAGGTTTGATAGTTAACAATACTACGTAAACTGTTAAAGTCTTCTGTGTTGCTGTTTTTTTCTTAAACTTCATTGGCAAAAGAATTAAAAACCCAGTTTTGAAAAAGTTGAACTATGAAGGGGTACAGTTAGGGGGGATATTTTTTGCGATTCTGAAGGGGTGCAATTGTGCAACTATTTTATAGAAAGTGGAAAATAACTAGAAATATTTCAATATTTCTTTTAAAATACTTAAATTTGTGCTTGTAGTAACTTTATGGAAACAGATACTAAAATATAATCTGTCCATTTTATTTTCAGTATGGAAACTCTGGAGGACCTTTAGTAAACCTGGTAAGGGTTTCTTTTAAAACAAAATTCTTTAAGTTTGTGTGTTTTATTAACCTGTCCATTTTTTTAAAAGAAATATTTTAACTTTCTTTTTATTGTTTTTTATATAGAACATAAACACATAATGAAATAAAACACATATAAATATCTGCACAAGATGGAAAAAGAAATAAATAACAAAATTCATTGTTCTGAAAGAAATTTGCCAAAGAAAGTGATTCAGTTCTGATGATAACTGGCTGACTGTACAAACGTGGCAGGGTGCTTACTAATCGCTCATCTGTGTTTTTATTGGCCAGTCACATGATATACTTGGAGTTCAGTATTCCAAGTGTTTGCCATTTGCATAGTTTAAAATGAGTGTAATGCCCAGTATGTTGTATGCTGATGCTATGCAAAAGCTAATATTAAACATGAAATGTATGTTTAAGAAGTAATTGCACTTTTCATAAAGTATGTAAGCTCTTTGCAAATCGAAGTTAAGTTCAGTGGTATCCGTATGTATTCTCCCTTCATGGTGCGTTCATCACTGTGATAGAGCAGAAAATCTCCACTCTGGATCAGGGCAGGAAGGGGTCAAGGGTCTGTTTTACAGTCAGATGCTGACTTGACCCAGCCCAACAACTGCCAGCAAACTCAAGTACAATTTTGTCTTCTGGGTATTTCCAAACATTTAAGAATAAAGTTGTGGCCTAATTCTGTCATCCTTCCAGCATAGCCAGACAATGTGTGATTGGAGGTCCTCACTATGGAGAAGCTACTTAGTCTGTGTCAGAAAGGACAATTTTGCCTTGAAAAATATACAACAAGACTGACAGAATATTAAAGTTACTTTTGGCCTACCACACTGTACAAGTTCAGCAACGATAGTGTGACATTTTAGTATTTCCATTTAAAGGCCCAGTATCCGATAAAGTTACTCATGCTGAATATAGGGTGCCACTGAAATAAGCAAATTGAAAATAATGGGACCAATTGTGTAATAAGGTGCTGTTTATTGCGAGTAAGAGCATTCCCAGATTCTGATCTTGACTATGCTGGTGTAAATCTGGAATAGTTATATTGAATGTTAATGTAGTTACTCTAAATTTACAGCAGTGAAACTCATATCAGAATGTTGTCCACAGACTTTTCTAATTATGGCAAAATCTTTGAGTTTTAAACTTAGACTCCTTTTTTCAAAGTTTCTTAACTTTATATTTTTAAGCCAAGTTTAGTGGCTAATAAATTAGCTTCAAAATATTTTGCATATACCTTATTAATTTTCTTTGTGACTGCTTGCAGAACATCTTCCCTTGCATTGTTTCTTTGTCATGGTGTTTCATGTTTGCTAACATACTTTTTTTTATTTCTCCAGGATGGTGAAGTGATTGGAATTAACACTTTAAAAGTTACAGCTGGAATCTCATTTGCAATTCCATCCGATAAAATTAAAAAGTTCTTAACTGAATCACATGACAGACAAGCTAAAGGTATTGTACTGTACTATTTAAAAAATGGGCACATGTCACACAATAGGGAACCAACATCAAAATATTTGGCTATCTCTGTGTTTAAGACCACCAGGACTTCTCATAAGAACAATAAGTCAAGATTTTCTTTTCTCTTTCTAACAGGAAAAGCAATAACTAAAAAGAAATACATTGGCATTCGAATGATGTCACTCTCTCCTAGGTGAGTAAAGATAAATTCTTTCCTCCGCCTGTAATTTTATTTAAATGTGGCCATTCCCACAAATTTTGCTTCTGTCACATTGAAATGGGTTATTGTAATATGCTTCACAAGGAGCACCTGAAGATCTACAAATAATGGCCTGATTTTTTTGTTACTTCTGTTTTCGTCTATTTATTGCCAGTAGAAGATACTTATTAGTATTTAGAAATCTGCATCCTGTAAAATAAGTGTAAAGTTTTAAAATCTTGTCAAGTCTTTAGGAATCTGAACTGAATTGTACCATATGTGTCCTCAGTATGTATAAAATACCATAGCAAATAAAGATTAAGTGATTGAGGTTTTTCAATCCTTGTAGTTTAAATTCCTTATAAGTGAAATGACCTTCTGTCAAAATAATTTTAAATTGGAGTCACTTTTTTCAGCAAAGCTAAAGAGCTGAAGGAACACCATAAAGACTTTCCTGATGTTGTTTCTGGGGCCTACATTATTGAAGTAATTCCAGATACGCCAGCTGAAGCGTAAGTGAAAGGACTTTTTTATTCTTTTTTTCTTTTCTTTTTTTTTTTTTTTTTCCTAACAGCAACCATCAGCGTAATGAACTGGTAATGAGATGCTTTCACCCCCTACGACAAGTTTGACTATGCTAAAATCAACCAAACTTTTGCCATCTGACAACTGTTTGGCTGTTTACATGAAAGGAGTTGGTGTGTTGAGTCCAGTCCCTTGTGGGCAGCCCTCTATATCACAAAAAAGACTATCACAGTGGAGCCCTCGTCACAGATCTCAGCAGAGAGGTTAAGCATGGAGTGGACGTGCTGGCTAAATCATCCTTTCACTTCTAGAGATGATCTCACCAGGTCATGATTGGGATACACATTGGTAGGGCAGTTTGGGGAAACTTGTGCTTCTGCTGCCTGTGTGATTGTGTTTCATGGTCAGAGGCTGTGTCCATCTAGCACCTTACATGGGCATTTAATTCTCATGATTCACTTGGTTAACTTAAAATACATAAATAAATAAACTATTTAAGTCAGGTGGGTGAGGAGAGAGTATCAGGAACATGAAATTAGTGATCTTATAGGAAAAGAGCAAAGGTTATTGTGCAGCACATTTAGGGTAAGAGGCATGTATGTGCGAAACACATTAGAAAATTAACATTTCATGGCACACATTTTTAATAATCTGTGTTCAAAGAAGGGAAGAGGGCTGGCTGGCATCTCTCTGGAGCGGAGTTTGGGTGCCTTAAGCTTAACCAATCATGGCTAGGTTTCTAACATCTGTTACAGGTGCTTTTTGTTTTGTAACTAACATTTTTGAAAGGTAACACTCAGGCAAAGCACTGATATGTGCCTGCAACCTGAGTCTCCCTTAAACTATTGCAGGAATAATCTAGTTCATTGTACTGTAGTGTGGGGTTTGCACTTGTCTTCTTGACCTGAGTGGATGACACTTGGCTGTATTTGGGATGAGAAAGTGAGCCTGCATCTTGAGAGCATGCAAAAAAAGATGTTCTGTAGTGTGGGAGTGAGAACAGTTAGCAAAGAGACAGAAGGGAAAGAAGAGAGGTAGAAGACAAGTAATGTAGTATAGCACTTAGGAGTTCAGAATCACATTGATATTAACGTGTTGATCATTATTGATGGCTATTGCCCACCCTAACCTCCTTCAGACAACTTTATTGATGAAATGTGTACATACTTTGATTTGGGCTGGGTTTTTCACCGACATTTTGTATTGTGTGTGATATCAACTCAAAACAGCTCTTGCTGCCACAAAATTCTATCAGTCTTTTTAATTGAGAGAAGGGTCCTGTTGCACCTACCCACAAGGACCAAAATATTCCAATCTGACTCGTGATTTTTTTGGTTGCCCAACTTGAGAACCATAAAGGAGTCTGTTTTCAGAAAGCGCTGAGCCACGTGGCCTCTGAAAATAAAGCCCATTTAAGGTGTTCTGAGTAGGGCACCAGAAAACTTAGCCAAGGCATGTAGCTTGAGAGAAGCACTGGGGTAAGACATTTCTCGGTGACTGGAAGAGGCGTATTATTACTGTGTGGTTGTGTAAAGATTATGCTCAGAGGTTGAATCATGTCTGATCTGGTTCCTTGGGTTAGTATTTCCATCACTTGGTGCCAGAGTTTTGTGCATGACAGGGCAAGCCAATATGGTATGTACAATATTTCCCTTCCCCACTCCTGTTCCTCAGTCCCAGCTGCAGTCTTAGCCAGCTCTTGTGAATAAAATATGAAAGGGACTCAGCACAGACTGTGGAGGATCTGAAGTAGAAAGAGCCTCAGTCTGACTTATCTAGTCCCCGTCTATCTGTATCTACCCGTTGTCTTTTTACATTGTAAGCTCTTGGGGCAAGGACCATTTTGTTTTGTTTTGTGTTTGTATAGTACCTGGGATGAAGAGGTCCTAGTCCATAATTGGTGCTCCGAGGTGTTATTGCAATAAAAATAATAATAATGGGTGGAATAAAACTGCATCCTACTGAGTCCATGTGTAATAGATCTACATTATTTTCCATTTTAGTTTTGAATCCTAGTGGGGCTGCATTTGAGATGTAATTGAGCCAACAAAGCTATGTATAGAGAACAGTGTGGGATACTAAATATACAGTTCTATTAAATGGTACAGGTCCCCTACTGGAGTGGGCTGAGATGCGGATTGAAATATCTGCCATGTGTACCTGCCACTGTACACAGTGTTGCTCCGATGGAATTGCTCTTAAATTGTATAATTGCGTGAAAGCTTTGAAGATTTCCGTGCTGAAATAAAACTCCTTTGTCTTATCTGATACACGTCACCACATAACTCATCAAACCGGTTGTTGTTTCTATGCATCTCAGATTAGAATCCAGTCCTTTGAATGTCAGTCCTGGTGAATTGTGAGCATTCAGTTCTCTTTTTCAATCGCATTATGAGGAGGATAAAATGGCAGTTGCGATAACGTATCCCTTTTTTGTATTTTAGTGGTGGCCTGAAAGAAAACGATGTGATTATAAGCATCAACGGACAGGGAATAATCTCAGCCAGTGATGTCAGTGACATTATTAAAAAGGACAATACTCTGAATATGGTTGTACGCAGGGGCAATGAAGATATTATGATAACAGTGGTTCCTGAAGAAATTGACCCTTAATCAGAAACATGAGCTGGATTTCATGTTTTCTTTTAGCAACAGTGGACTGCTTACATTATGACTGTGCTGGTACAGGAAACATTAGACTTTTGAACAACATTTTGCTTGTTCAAAAGAATAGTATTGGCCAACAACACCAATGTAATGCCACAGATATTCCAGATGATAATTTTTTCCTTCTGTATTTTATGTATGCAATGTATTCTTTACTGGCTAACACAACTGTTACTGCTTAAACAGTCAACATTTTTTTCTCTGTGTCACTCTTTCAACTAAGACTTCAACAAAACAAAATTCATGCACACAATGTGTGTTGTGGTATTCAGGTATAAATAGGATAGCTGTTCCTTTAACTGGAAAATGCCATTGTGATAGAATTTGGGGATAAAAAACACAGTTGGAAAAATGTTGGCTTGTAAACAAAAAACAAAATAAAAAAAAAACACCTTTTCAGAATCCATGCAGAATTTTTACTACTTCAGTCTTTTCCTAGTGTTATTAAAATAATTCTACAGTATTTTTTTCTGGTGTCATTCATTTTGCCTCATGTAAGTTGTTGGATGTTTTACTTTTGAAATGTACCAAATATCTACCTGAAACTATTTCTCGATGGACTTATTTCCTCTGTCATTGAGCCAAAACCCTTTTACTTTTCAACGTATTCTTAGTTTCCTATATACTGTCACCGAAGTCTAAGGTAAACATCTGAAGGAAAGAAAGCCTAGCATTTGCACTCCGGTTTCTTAGCTTAGTCTTTAGCTATAGTATCTTAGCTATCCTAAGAGGGCAGGCTTCCATGTATAATTCTTTTTTTACCATATTTTCTCCTCTTGAAATTAAATTTATAATATAAACAGTGTCTGAAACACTTCTCCTTCAGCAGAGGTTCCTAAACTGTGAGTCATGGACCAGTGATGGTCCAGGTATAGCTATGTGGTCTCATTTCGCTATCTCTTCTTGTTCCAGATGCTAAATTTGAATAAAAGACTGCTATAATGCATGGAAAATTTTCATAATATTACTTTTTCAAGTATGCAATTTCTGCTGCTTGTGGTTGTGAATAAGAGGTGTGGAGTGAAAGGTGGCAAGATTTGCAATGGTCCATAGTACTTGGGGGAGTTCATTACAGTCTGTGGATGGATCTTGAGAAAGCTAGGAAAATGAACCACTGACCTACAAGAACTGTGTAGAAGACTGTTCTCTCTTTGACAGTCAATAAAGAGATCATTTTGCCCCTGCAGTAGTTTGCCATCCTCACTTTAAAGAAGTTTCTCTGTAGCCCCTGAAACATGACTCGATGCAAAACATGATTTAAACTGGGTTCACCCCTATTTAGGCAATAGGTTTTGACCTTGAATCATCCATCCTTGCTGATCATAATGTTCCATGTTTGGACACAGGCTATAGAATTTTTCTAAACTAATCCCTACACCATATCTTACTCCTGAGGGTATTCTGCACCAAAAAATAAAAATTCTGCGCACAATATTTTAAAATTCTGCAAGTGTATTTGTCAAATAAATGTGGAGGCTCTGGCATGACATTGGGGAGCACAGGCCACTGGCTGCACAGATATGAGGGGGAGGGATAGCTTAGTGGTTAGAGCATTGGCCTGCTAAACCCAGGGTTGTGAGTTCAATCCTTGAGGGGGCCACTTAGGGGTCTGGGGCAAAATCAGTACTTGGTCCTGCTAGTGAAGGCAGGGGGCTGGACTTGATGACCTTTCAAGGTCCCTTACAGTTCTAGGAGATGGGATATTTATTTCTCTCCCTCCCTCCCCCGCCCGGGGACATGGACTCAGCGGTGAGTCTGTGCCCAAGGACTGGGCCTACCCCAGAAACACCCAAGGGCCCTGCCCCTCCATGCCAGGAGCACTAGGTGTGAGCAGACAGGCTCAGCAAGGCAGGATCCACCTGTGGAGGGGCTTAGTGTGGGGGGGATCCAGGTGTGGGTTGAGAGGATTCTGTGGGGAGCATTCTAGGTGCAGGCACTTCAGTGTGGGATCTGGGTGCGGGAGGGATGTGGATGCACACAGGCTTGTTGGGGGGGTTCTGGGTTCAACAGTAATGGGACTCTGCAGGGGGGGTCCAAATGAAGTGGTTGAGGCTCAGCGTGGGGAGGTCTGAGTGTGGGGGGATAGTGCTAGGTGGGGGGGATCTGGGAGGGGTCCAGATGCTGGGGGAGTGGGGTGGGATTCCAGGGGCAGCTGGTTGGGGCTTGGTAGGATGGGGATCTGGGTGGGGGTGGCTCATCAGGGAGGTACAGCAGCAGGGAAAGCGGGGCTAGCCAAGGGCGGGGGGTTCTGGGTGCAGGGGGAGGTGGGGCTTGGCATGAGGGTCTGGATGCATGGGGGTTGGGCTGTTGGGGGAGCAGCTCCCTGCACAGTGATCCCTCCCCCTGCAGCTGAGGAGCGACAGGCGCAGGAAGCGCGGGGAGGTGGGTGTTTGCAGAGCTTCCTACAACCAGAGGACAAATCTGGGGGTGGGTCTGACGTGGCCCTGGATGCTGCACAGGGGAAGAGGAAGTCCCGTCCTCCTCAGCGCAGCCGGGACAAGCAGCTGATCCTGGTGCAGGGTAGGAGCCACCAGCCAGGTCTTCCCCAGTCCTGCTCCCTACCGCACAGAGATTTACCTCTGCCGGCTGCCCTAGGCACCCAAAACGTACTGCTGGGGGGGGGGGTCGCATGATCACTGTTGTGGCTTCCCTTGACTTCCCCATCAGAAAATCATTTTT